GTACAGAGATCCAAAACCACTGGAAATGATATAATTCCACGTAATAATAATCCTTCCTATCAATAATAAATAAAAATAAATAAACTTTGAAGACAGACTTCTCCGGAAACTAAATGCTGCTTTGCATCACATCCCTCTACTTTTGCATCCAAAGATGTGGAAACCACGATATGAGTCGCTTGTTTCTGATTTCCAGCTACTTTTCCTTCTAAAAAACAAGTGAGATAAAAAAAAGTCATGGTACAAAAATTCAAAAACATTTTTTTTGGATCTCTCATATAAATTCACTTGAAAGCACGTAACTTGTCAGCATTACTTGAATGCATCTATCCCGCACACGAATCTTATTTACACCAGAAAAATCAGGTCAATGAGTTTGCAAGTCCTAAAATTCAAAGCAGAACATATAGTACATGTCTAGCAAGTGCTCCAATCCAAAAATTTCCGATAAAAAGTTACGAAAAGGGAGCAAAAGGCAGCTTCAACGCAACCAAAAAACATACTGTTTTCTACGGTTTTTTCCTTCATTTCGGTCAGATCTTTCTCATCGTAGGCGACAAACCACAATGATAACCCGCAAAATGGTTCAACCATGTATTTGTTCATCTGAAAAAAGCTCAAAATTTTTAAAATCTTGAAGAATAAAGTTCAAATATTCCTTAAAAAGGAAGGATAAAATAAAAAAATCAACGAACAAAATCAATGGTAGTGACGCTGATTTGTATAGAATTTCTGGCAGCCCATGCAGCCCTCAACCAATCTAAATGCATCACACGACATCCAATTGATACTGCCATCTGCAATACTATACTTTGATATTTTAATTTATTGCACTTCTGAAAAAGTATGAGCTTCACTTACCACACATCATCAAGGCAATTACTTTTGTCTGCTTAAATCACCTGCCGAACTGTTGAAATTTATAGGAAAAATACCCTATATGTTTTTCCTCTAGCAGCATCAGTGATTAAATGGGTGGTAGAGGCAGAAAATACTCGTTGCGCGCTGCCACCCATGAAATGTACAAGATCAACAGCTTCGCGACAATTTTTGGTTGAAAGTCCCGATAAAGCGATTCGAACACCAGACATAGTGTCCGTGTAAAGTGGACGGTTTGGTCGAGGTACCAACAAGGGCTGAAATACGACATTAATGTATAAAGAAACAAAATAAAAGCATGAACCTGTTACTGAAATAAATACAGAATCTATCAAACGGCAGAACTTCCTTGAAAATTTTGTAACTACATTTGAAAATTGCTTTTGCTATCAATTTCCTACATTTAAAAATCCAGAAAATTTGGAGAGATATATTTTGTTCGTTTAATTTGCCAAACAGTCGTTTTTGAACTAAATCGCTGAATCAATCAAGTTATTAATTAGTAATACTTTTCCATCTACGGCACGTTTCCGGATAATTGCTGGACCAATAATTGGTTTTTGACAAGAATTAAGATATTTGAACCAACGACAATCAGTGAATTCACTACACAGGAAAGTGATGCCAGTATCTTTTGTAAACTCATAACCATCTTCGCTTTCCAACAATTCGATACCGAAATGATTCTGCAAAAACGACTGTAAGATCAGGTAAAGCAACTAGAGTACAGCATCAATTGAAAGTCCATAAATATTACAGCATAATAGAATCAAATGAAATTTATACATATCATTGATTCCAACAAGTAAGGTGACAGAATTAAAGTACAATGGTTTCTATTACCTTTAACAAATCTGTAACTTCTGTATTACTTCTAGCGACTCCCACAACACAAACTCGATTTACCCTTCTGATCTGTGACGCTGACCGAGCAACCGTGTTTTCTCCTATAAAGATTTTTGCTCACTTTTTACTATCGCAAACACGAAATGCAACATAATTTATTTACGTAGTCATGTTTTAAAAAATCTGACAATTATAAGATAGCCTGACTATTTAATAGTCTCGCTATATATATAATTAGTCTATATGTACAGAGGAGAGCTTTTTGACAGCTAAAAAGTGAAAAGGCTTCATTCACTGACATGGCTGTCTCTGCTGAGAGACAGCCATGTCAGTGAATTGTCCTGGTCTTAGCCTGCCAACACGGAGCAAAGTAAGGTTATAATTCAGTGATGTAAGACGGACAGTAATTTTCAGCGGTCCTTGATGAAAGAGAAGAACTGCTAATAAGGCGCTTCCAACTATTCGCAGCTATTTATTGGTTTCTTTATTTATTTATACATCCAGTTATTATTTCGTTGACACATTTGTTTACTGACTCATTTATTTGTTTATTTGGACTTTGCTTAAATCATATGCCATATCGAAAATATAACTCATATTTGGACCAACTTTAAGTAAGTTTCGGTGCTATTCCTTAAAATTGATTTAAATCCCAGTTATATAAGTCCACTTCCCCAAGATTGTAATAACCAATAACTTACTATCTGTGAAATTTTCTGTGACTTCTAAACTGAGAAGACTTGCCGCAACCTCCGAACTAAGTACACTTCCCTCGCCATCCATCGACGATCGTCCACTTAAATAAATTTGAAGAAAGAAGAAAGTCGACCACCCACTCCTTCAATATTTCTGCAAATAACAACTGTTGCTGAATCCAGACTGATAAAAGAAAACATTGTTTCAGCTTTTATTTTGCATCTCTCTCTGCTTTTCTAAAGTTAAAATCCACTGAGCACCGCAAGCATAATGAGTCTTTGCAACAAAACGGTCTGCCAATGTTTCATGCTTTATTCAGTATCCTATAGAATTATTTCCTTTTTAGTACAGTGATGTGGAGTGCTGTCAATCTTTCCACGGATATTTAATGGAAATATGTTGAATCTCGCCTTCCCCCTAAGCTCGTAAAACCTCCCGAAGAAAGTCACAAATAACGAACAACATACTCTGCCAAAAAACAAATTTAAATTTAAAATGACAAGTTTTCGTGACGAGACCGAGTTCTTATTGCTAATTGCCGGAAGAACTAATAAATAAGGCCTGGACAATACGGTGTAAATGCCTTCGCACAATTTTCCCTTTATTATTCAACTGTTTGTAAACAGAGTGTGTCCGGACAATTTTGGAAGTATTTTCCGCCTTTCAAACATTCGAATTCGGTCTCCTTTCGGACAAACGGACAGACATGTGGACGAACAACTCTTCTTGGAAGTTGCCTGGTTTGTTTTATTTCACGGCCGTCTTTTCAGTTGATTTAACTGTATTTTTTCCTAATTGGGTTAGGAATACTGTGAAGTTGAGTTAGTCGCTAATGATATTACTTTTCGTGAGAGAGAATTAAGGAGTGTTCCTGGTTGCTTCTTCGTAAGAAAGTCGTGATACCGCCGAAATATCGACTGAGGCTCATCACCTCAAACTGCTAAAAAACTATTCCTGTACAGTTATTGTTGTATGTTAAGTAGAAAGTAATCACTCGTACCACCCATCTTAACATTTATGTACGTGGCCGATTCGTTTATTACAAAGTAAGTTTCATACAACATTCAATTGATGTGTTTTCCGTGATACTTTGTTAACACATATGGAGAATGAAAACTAACAAAGCACAATCGAGTTATTTCTTTGAATGATAACAATAATAGTATCAGGCATGAAAATCACTTGTAAATGTGTGAAAATCACTTCTAACAGAAAACAATCTAAATTGATTTTCATATATCCCAGAAGAAAGTTATGTGAACCAGCTTCATTCGTAATTCATTTTGTGAGCTCTGATTCAGTAAAAATAATTTCTTTAAATTTCACAGAAATACTATCTGTTGCATAAATAAGTGTTCTGTCATATCACTACTTCCCTAAAGATAAGACGTTTTCATTGCAAGCTTAATGTAAAATTGAAGGTGTAGCACTCTAAATTTTTAAAACGAACTTTAATGATTAAGCATGAACTAGAAAAAGGCGCAGTTTGAACTGCAAAGTGCGCATAAACATAAAACAGTGAGGAGTCGAGATCAAACATGAAATTTATTATAACTGCACAAATACAGAAATGAGAACAATGGTGTCCCCTTCGAAGTATAATTATTTCAGATGGTTTAATATACGGAAATTTACATATTAAAGTGAAAATGGAAAATTAAAAACTATTTAATTACATATATTTACAATCTACTCAATTTTATGTACCACCAAGAATTGGAGAATCTTTTGGAATCCAATTTTGGTGAAATCTAAATCCATTGTTCATTCTTCCCGTTTCTAACAGTTATTAGTAACCAAAGTTAAATATCACAATAATAAATGCAGTACTGCGCTACCCAAAATAGGTACTGATCATAAAAGTCGACATTAATGATAAGCTTTGCATATGCATTTTGAAAGAAATTTTACTCATTTCAACATTTAAACTAAGAATCATTTTCTGCATGATTTTTCTTATTCCATTGGCATTTCATTTTCTCATGCGGAATCTTACTTCAATTTTATTATCATCAGTTTTTCTGGATGACTAATTTTTTCTGAAAAGTTATATTTTCTAAGGTAATACAGAATTTTATGTATACTAACCTCATATGCACATTAATTATCTTTTCCATGAAATCGAAATTATAGATTTGAAAGGAATTGTTAAACTGAATTACCAGACATTCGAAGATGGTATTAATTTAACGAGTTTCTAAGCTGCTATTTTGCATATAATAAGATCTAATGATGAAATCATGCAAAATATTATAGTAAACATATTTCTAAACAATTTATTAGAAGAACAAAAATAAAAAAAAAAAAGGAGACGGAAGATAAGGCAGCATCGAAAAAGGCAGAAGTATGAAAGTGAAAATTGAGAAGTAACAATAAGCATATCAGATTAATACGACAAGATTTTAAAAAAGGCAGTTTTTTATTAAGGTTACTAACGAGGTGATGTAAAAATGTAGAAAGCAGTGACGTACGTGACCTTTGTGTTTCTACTAATGAAAAAATTATAAATTATTTTGCTCTGCGCAGATATCTTTTTTTTTTTTTTTTTGCAATTTTTGGGAGAGAGATTGCTTCGATGTTCAGGTGGGTTTCCTTCTTTTCTTCATGTCCAATTTCGTTCTCAATATGCTGAAACCATTGACTTTAATTACTTCATTATACTTTTCTACTTCTCACGTTAACTCGTTTTTCCACGAAATTTTAATCTTGGAAGTAATAAAGAAGACACTATACTACAAAATTGCAGTGAACTTATTTTGAGAGTAAAATTAATTCTCGACAATAATAATGAAATGGAGTCATCATGTTGTGACATACAACAAAACTTAGTGTGGAGTTTCTCGATTATATGTGATAATAATCGTGCTTATTTAATGATAAGTTTGTTGGGATGTTACATGCAATTCTAGAAATGAACTTACTGATTAATTGATGATCGTGACGGAGCATTTTCACGACTACAAATTCCGTCAGCAATCAACTGTTCTCGAATTTCAGCCTGTCGACTCATACCCAATCGCATTCTATAATCTCGAATGGCCGTTACTAACGGCGATTCGGTTCGACCTTCTTTAGCATCTTTTGGTTTTACTGAACCTGTTGTCCTGTATCTAGAAAAGAGAGAAATAAAAAATCTTCCCTAAAGTAGAAAAAATATATATATTTGAATTTCAAAGTTCGAAAATTGCGATAGCTCAAAAGTGATCCCGTCACTGATGGCTCTTCATACGACTTGGGTTATTCATACAGATCATCCTGAAATATAAAAAACCACCGATTTAAAATTTTTGATACACAACTGTGTGTAATGCAAAGACGTTTCGATATATCACAAATTTTCCAGCCACCCTTGTATAGGCTAACAATTTGCTCTCGTTCGCTCATCGATAGAGGTAATCCAGGACTATAAATACGGCCTAGCTGATTCGTTCCTGCAAATACACTCACTGTGCAGTGTATGTTTTTAAATGTTGGGTTTTTCGGATTGAGAACAACGTAAGTTTTCTTATTACTAATAATTAAAACTTTTTAACATACACAAAAAAAAAGAAAAAGATTTAGCAAAGATGGAATATGATGCCAAGCACTTTTCATACCTGAGCTACGACTGGGGCATGAACTAACTGATTCTCGGCGTTGTTCTGATTCACTACATGATCGATAATCGTTTGACTCCGATGATGTCGAAGAAGGTGGACTGCCAGCAAATGAGCCACCATCAGAGAGATCATCCGGTGAAGAAAATAAATCTCGGCTACCAAATGCTAAATCGTCGATTGGTGGTAAACGCTCCAGGTGACGACCGCTTGTTTTTTCATCGCCCTATAAAATAAATACTTTTTGTTAATAAGGCAGCATTTGCAGAAGCAAACTTTGTTTACCAACTGATTTCATTCCATTGTTAATTTAATCTTAGCATTTTATTTATCACATTAGCTTTTGTTTTCCGTTTATTTTTTCTTTTCAACCACTTGTTTATTTACTTTGCTTATCACTTATTCGTCTGTTTATCAATCTTGTATTTGGCTGCTCATTTTTACACAAACTATTTCACCGTTTATTTGCCTAAAATCTATCGTTTCGATCATTTACATTATATTTTTAATTAAAAAAACAAATAAGGGAAGAAAATTAGATGAAATGAATATGCTTTCCAATTTCTCTTTTATTGTTGAGTCATTTTCACTTATTTTGTTCCTATTTACTAGATTACTTTCAATTCTAACATCTTATTTTGAAACTTTTAAAATTCTTAAAAAATACTATCGAAAAAAACCAGTTAGAACCATAAATACGTAGATTAATAGTGAAAGGACGAGATTGAGTAATTAAAAACACAGTACCACAATGACAAAAATTCGAACCAATGAACAAATCCCCCAATGCCAATAAAATTTAAGACTTTGTGGGTGACGATTTGAAAAAATACCTGTTATATCATAAAAAGATCGACACAGCCCATTTTAGAAATAATTTTTTTTTTTGGGGGGATTTTAGAAACTTCCTGTTTTTTAACACTGTTTTGATTAGAATGACAATCTTAAAACGGGATAATTTAAAAGTTTTGATTAGTCATTTCACTACTATAAAAGCGAGATTTGAACTTTGAACTTACTGAGTAATGAATAAGTTGTGATATATATCATACTTGATATATCATAGGAAGATTAATATGGTCCACTTTCGAAATAATCTGTACTTTTCAGGATATTAAAAACTTTCCCGTTTTCACTGTTGTTTTGGTTAGAAAAGAACCAAGGCGTTAATGTAAAATTCCTTCAGTGCGAGGCAGTAGTGAACTGAGCTACTAACGTTGCTGCACATTTTGACCTTTGATGATTATTGCATTCATTCATGATAAATGGATGACGAATAAATATAGGACAACGTTTTCATTGCTTTTCCGCAGAGTACAGAATAACTAAAGTTAAACTAAGCTTTAGGTGTTTTTTTTTTTTTTGCTTTTTGGATGAAATTATTTACTCCAGTTATGGTTGGTCTACCTAATCTGGAATTTAATTGATACGGGAAGATGAAAGAGGAAGAGACAAAACAATAAACATGTACATTAAACCATAATTATTTACATGTATCGCCAACTATACTACTAATTTTGTGTTCCTTTCGAAAGAAAAAAGAGTCACTTTTTTTGATGAAGAATCCAAGAAAATGAATTATTTTTTACACCTTGAATAGTATGAGAAAGAATAGGAAGGATGGATAAGAGTAAAACAAGAGAGGACAGGACAGGACGGGACGGAACGGGGAGGACAGGACAGGACGAGACGGAACGGGGAGGACAGGACAGGACGGGACAGGTTGGGAGAGACAGGATAGGACAGGACGACATAATGCAGTAAAAGTAAGATAAATGACATGAAAAATTGGCTGGATGATGAAGTGCAAGAGTCACTTTTTTGATGAAAAATTCACATTAGCAATTGTGTTATTTGTAATTCACACCACTTAATAAAAATTTCTTCGTCCATTTGCATCTTTTGCAAACATTTAAAAGAAAAAAGATTTTGAAGAAAGTTGATCTGCAATTTGTATTCAGATATGATGCAGCAAATAAATTTTACCAATCTTAAACTTTTCCAATTTACTCATTAACTCTATTAATTGTCATTCACGAGGTAATAATGATCCAACCTTTTAATTTCATTTAAGGTTGCTTTTCTAAATATTAATCATTTGTAATCAAACAAGACTAACACTAATAACAAGTTAACAGTTCATTATAATCATGATTTTTCATTCATTTCTTATTTTTTTTTTCTGCATATCTACTTCTTTGCGTATTTAATTATTTATTTGTCTTGTTTATTCATTATCTGCTCGTTTATATGTTTATTGGTAACCCATAATTCTTCATTGTTAAATTGCATTATTTATTTTTTACTCTCTGCCTTTATTTTTCTTTCTCATTTTTTACATATTTTTTATAGCCCATTTCTTCATTTATTTATTAATAAACATTAAAATTATTATTTCAGTTTATTTTGGATTATACTACCTCCAGTTTTTTCATGAAATCATTTCAACTTCTTTTAATTACCTTGCATAACAAGTACTGATACAGGAACAAAGCATAATATTGAAGTGGAAATAAGCATGAAGAATTTTTCAGAGAAATGGAAAAATTGTTAAACTAACATAAAGCCAAGCATAGAAATCTCGTTCAAGTGTTTCAGGTGTAGAAATGTCAATCACGAAATTCTTTTCACCAACCACATCTGCCATCATCATTTCCTATAAAAGTGGAAATAAGGACTTTTTTTTGGGAGGAAGGTGATCTTATTTTACAATATTAATATGCACGACGAAGGAATTATGAGATGATATGCATCCCAAATTTTTGAATGGCAACATTAGTATTTCAAAGATGTTTAATATCAGGTTCATTAGCAGTGCCATAACTTTCGTCTGATTAATTATTCAACATTTCAAAGGTCGTTATTAGAAAATGTCTCATTTCAGTACATTTTTCTGAATTGTTTGAGGTTCAGGAAAGAACACATCTATCGTAATTTCTGGTTTTCAACAGTATTATTCTTGAAATGAATGATAAAGTGATGCAGCAACGTGATAAAGTAATACTTAATATGCACGACGAAAAAAAACATAATCTGGTAGAAGAAATCAAAAATTTTTCATTTGTAGGAACAACTGATTTCGTAGAAATAAAAGAATTAGCTAAAAAATCTCGGAAAATAGCGATATATGGTGAAATACCTAACACACCATTCACTCTATTTTCATTAATTCAAACGAAGTTCAAATTTCAATAACTTGATGAAAGTTTAATAGATATTTCTTACTAAAAACAAAAATGATTAAGTGGACGAAAGCATTCTTGTTAATTAGTCTAAACAGCGTGTTATCATGAAGGAGTAACAAATCCTACCTATCTTCCAATAAACCAATTTGCCGATAACATATAAAAACATTAAAAGTCGCCCAGGGCATTTCCAAAATTTTTTTAGAGTAATGAGGCTTGTTGTCAATGTCATTACACAGTTAACGATTATAGTACTCTTCCTATCTTTCCTAAATTTCTTCTTTCTCTCTTCCTCTATCTTCTTTTATTAAATCAGAAAATTTCAAAAAGGTGAAAAGAAAAAATGCCATCGCGGAAATGAACGTGTTGATACACAAGAAAAGTATGTGTGGAAGAGAATACGAATGAACTCAAATCATTCAACAGCAGTGTACTGGTTGTACTACTACTGGTTGTTTAAAAAAATGATTGGTGATGTATGGATACTTCGCATTGATTCTCTTCATTTGGAAATTTGAAAGAAAGATAGCGGGAAAGAATAGGAGAAAATGAAGAATGAAAAATTTATAACATTACCGAGTAGAAATAACAATAATAGCAATAACTGTCATTTCTTCGCTTGATTTAATGAAATTTGAGAAAACTGCTTTACTTGATTTGGATGAGGCAATGTTAGTCAAGTTGCAAACTATAATAGTGCACTTTAAAGATGACTGATAATACATCTTAATTGTTAAAAATAAAAAGGAATGAAGTAAAAAGTAAAAGCGATTATCGTATTTTATTGAGAATCAGCCATTTGCTGTTGCATTTGATTTCGTTGAGAAGGAAGAGAAAGGAAAGCGCATATTGTACTACGAAATTGGAGAACGAAAGATGATCGTAAAGATATATGAATCAGAACTGAAGAATCACAAAGATGGCTTAATGAACAAGTTCTTCGTGTCTTTTGTTGTATATTACTTCGAGTTAAGTGTTAGTAAGGATTCACTGAATTTTGAAAATTCCTCTTTAATTTCAATTTTTTTCGAGGTTCAACAAATAAGTTTTAGTTATTAGTTGAATTGTCTGATTTTTTTTCTTGATAATAGCTATTATTAGGAAAAGATTGCTTCATTTTTAATTTGACAAGTTCGAGGAATAGTCGAAATTCCAGAACTGCCTGTTCTGAAGTCTTCTCTTCTCTTACTTATTATTCTGCTCAGTGTTAGCAATTGAATTTTAACATTAATAGTTCTTCTTAAGTTGTTCAAACAAATGTATAGGATGTCAGATTGGTTATTTGTACTTGCAGATATGTCATTCTGGTCATTTAACAATCACAATTTTTGGTGAACATTAATTCTGAGCAGAATTTTTGCTGCTTAGCTACCAGAGAAATGAATGAAATCTTTGAATAAAAAAATAAGACACTTGAATTGAATGTAAAACTGTAGTGATGAGAAAGTAATTCAGAAGAGTGCCAATAATAATGATAGTCCATTATTTAGTTGTTAAAGATAAACTAAATAAATTTTATTTAATTTCTACAGCAGTTACGATGACTAAATCCGGTTTCATCTTTTCTTTTTCCTGACACCAATGACAATAAATATTTTTGGATCGTAAGACCTAAAAACTTTCATTCATTAATTTTTGTTGTCGTCGATGATATTATTCTCTCCAAATTATTGTTTTTGCATACTTTAAGCGAAGTTCTTCAAATCTCATTAATCAGTACTTAGCTTAAGATATAAGGCTTGATAATGCACTGCAAGAATTGCTGCTAACAGCCATTTTAACTATAAAGATCTAGCCAAGAAAATTCTTTCATCTAGTTAAAAAGTAGATGAATTGATGAGTTCAGCTACATCTTTTCAATCATTTCTATTAAAATTCATTGATTTTCAGTCTTGGAAGCTACTTAATTCACTTAACACTCTCTTAAAGACCTGTAAATGCAATGTTTCAATAATAATTAGGTTGATCTTAATCGGAGAAAAGTTTGATTTCATTCATGGTACAATTGTAGTCTTTGAAAAAAAGAAACAATATAGCACAGTCTTTTAGTTTTAACTACAAAGATATACCAAGGAATTCTCATTAAGTATTTGAAAATATTATGTAGGAAGGTTGAAGGTATACGAATATCATACAATAGAATTTAGGAGTATTTTCAATGAATTATTATAGGTAGAAAAAATGAGGATGATATTATAAGAAAAAAAAGAAATGATCAAATAAATAATAGAATCGAACAGACGAACAAACAAAAAGCATTCTCTTTAAAATGAAAAAATTAGATGATATATTAATTATTTAAACTAACTGGTTTCAAAAGAAATCGATGATTTTTTGTTTCTTCTAAAAAAGCGGTTAATAAAAAGGCATCCTTTATTGCCCCCTCTTTTTAAAGCAACACTTCAACGGATTGGCAAACTCATGCTATTACAACAGCAATAACGGCAATACGCCTTTAACTGGAATTTAATTAGGCTTCCAATAAGTTCATAATGATACTTGCTTGTATGAAATGAAACAACTTGAAAAAATTGGGAAAAAGTGAAAATCACTGAATGCATCAATATCAGTTTGTCTTATACATTTCTTCACAGGAATGTGGCTTTGTATTGTTTTGCACAAGCAAATTAAATTATATTTTTCACAAAAGCATATCAGGCGTTTTGCTGTCATATAAAAGGATCGTTATCACTCTAAGCGCAATTGGTCAAAACCTCCTTTTGTGTAATACATAGTGATATCTCATGTGATTAAATAGTTTTTGATAATTGGATAGAGTCTTTTTAATGGTAATGAATTAAGAGAAAACAATGAATGGAATGAGAAAAAAATTAGATAACATTTAATGATTTATTGCAGCAATCAATAAATTTCATAGAGTAATGCAAAACATAAAGCATTGAGGGATACTACTAAAATTACAAACTTCTACTTTTCAAAAATTTCACTACTTCATTGAAATTAAAGTGATTGTTGAATAAGAATTGAAATTGAAGTTCTAATGTTTTAGAGAAGGAATGACTTGATGATGAATCATAAGCAGAAATTTGAATTGAAGGAGAGAGAGGTGAAAGGGGATTATCAATGGAGACTACTGGAAAGAATTATAAGCGATGATGATAGACGATAAAATGAATCGCAGGATATTTAGAGAAAATGGAGATGAGGCGAATGTAGTAGAGTTAGTGGTCTAAAGGAAGTTACTGAATAGTTAAATTACGATAGATTCATTGACCTAAGTAATTAAATAATTATTACAAACCCAGGTTTAATGAGGTGAATGAGAAAAATGGGTGTGTGAGAGAGAAACTTTTGAGAACTCTCAGACAATCAGTTGTATTTAGGGATAAATGATATTGGCTCGCGTTAGTTACAATGACTCTATATGGTAAAACAAGACAAGCACTTCTGACAAGGATAAGTGGAGGAGGAGGAGGAAAGGAGAGATTAAGGAGATAACTGGTTCTTGTCTCTTATGTTCTTCATACCCTTCTGCACTTTCATGCACTCAGCTGATATATTTCTTATCAGTCACCTTCCTAACTGTGGCAAGATGAATTTATTACTGGTCGTTTACGAATAAAATTAGCAAGCAAACGGATAATGATAGATTACGAATTTAAAGCTGTAAGGAATTAATTTATGGGACATAAAAGAAATGACTACCGTAAAACTTGTTATCATAAAAACGATATGTATTAAAGAATGAAGTTTTAGTTCTTAGAAGTTTTTACCAAGTTGAGAAGTAGACAGGGAATAAGTAATCCAATCTTCCGTTACCCGAAATCTTTCGATGGATAAGCAGAGTCTTCAATGATTCCATCGTGAGTATCTAGCAGGATGAATTCGAGGCTAGTCATTAATTTTATTTGCGGTTGTCATCATCTTTTTGACCAAATTTTTTTCCCCACCTTTTTCTTAATCAAATTATAAACATAAAGGTCAAAGTACAAGAAAACAATTCGAGCCTGTCGAAGTACTGGTACCAGCAAGCAATATAAATTTTTTTGCAAACTTTTTTTTCTGCAAAATATATGGAAATTGTATTGTGAAGTACTAAATTGGAATTAATATTTTATAACACATACATCATTTAGCTAATATTCCAAAAGACAGGCACTGTTGTTGACCGTACAAGGGAATATTCTTAATATTTCGCTTCATTTATAACATGCAAACGATTAACCATACTAATCTGTGTCTTTAGAAATAGACAAAATAAGTTTTTGCGCAGTAGTGATTACAGGCAATAGTTGAGCAGATAACAGATAATTTATATTGGTTCATATGCATAACTCACTTGAATTCATCCTGAAGAAGCGCAAATTTTAATCAAATTTTAATACATTGTCATAAAAACAAGTATAATAAAAATTGTAGCTATTATGTACCTTTCATTTTTATCAATTAACTGTAACGATTCCGCGCATTACAAATGTTTTTACTTTTTGAAATAAATGACAAG